TCTGTTGCTATCAATTTTATCAGGCTTAATGACGAGAGCATACTATGATACAGACTTAATGACAAGGTAGAGGAGTAAAGCAGGACCGCACACAGAGGCAACTTGGAGGATCCGGGAGAACGCTTTCTTGTCCGCAGTGAAGGTAAAATTGTTATTTAGTGAGTCAGATTCTAGAAGCCCGCTCAAGAATGGCCTCTGCCTGGTAAGACCATGCTGCCCTCCGCTGGACAGTTAAGAAATGAAAACCGTGTTTGTAATTACCAAATACCAGAGACCAAATTCATTTCACCTTTAAGCAATCTAGTCTCCCGAGCCGTGTGAAGACAAGGGGATTGGCATTTGTTTGGTTTGACCCTTTAAACAGTGATCCTCTCTTTGCAAAAAGTCACAACACATGGCATTCACAACGTTTTTGAGTCTGAGTCGTGGTCTGAAAGTGTTTTCATTTGAGGCTGAGTTCTGCTGATGATGTGACATGTGACAGGCTTCGGGCCAGGGACTGGTGTACTGGGTGGATACACCCCTAAGGATTTCACCTCATGCAAAACAGTTTAAAAGGGGAACTTACATGCAACAGAATTAAGATTCCTTCTCTCATTTCAAAGGCTGTCTGGGGGTCTGTAGTGAAGCCCCTTCACAAATTTGTAGCTGGCAAGTTTCCAAGCCAAGACCCCAGAATCCCTTTCAGGAGACACTTACCAACAGTACTTCACCAGATGAACGCAACCAGCCAGAGAATTCCCATGTTGGAAAGGACCCGGTGATGGTGGTGTCGGGTGCAGCAGGGAGGACCAGTCCTGACAAGAGGTTCCTGCCCAGCACCCTGGAGTTTCAGATGCCGACACGGACGGGGCTTTGGGGAGAGCTGTGTTGGGTGCCCAGATTTGTACCCAGCTCATTTCTCTCCCAACAACAAACAGCTGATGACAATGTCAGCCTGGTGAACAGGCTGCCCCTCTTCTGAAGGGGAAGATGCTAGAACCTGAAACCCCATAACCCCTACAGTGGCTGCCTTTCTTCAGTGGGCATGTTTGTTTGATCAAGGAATGGAAACACCTGTCAACAGCACCGCCTACCAAGGAGGCACCCGGAGCAGTGCCCCTCCCCATGCGAAACAGCCAAGCTCCTCCCCACTCCGGCTGCCCCAGATGGCCATTACGGCTGCTGTGTTCACATGCTCATGGTCTGAGGAATCCCTGGGAAGCTCAGGCAATTAAACCTTAAGCATTTTGTGTGGATTTAAGGTATGCGGCATAGCGTCTCTGTCTTGTGGGGCAGAATGTGTGGCGCACAGCTTAACCCTGCTGATTTCAGGCTGTCACGGGAGCCTCTGCTTCTAAGATGGGCAGCATGAACTGTTGTTCCGGGCAGGACCCAAGCGTGTGGCCCAACACATCACCGTACACCTATGAAAGTTTTCTGTCTTTTTGACTCAGTCACACAGTTCTCGAATATACACATTGTGGATGGCAATGTCAGACTTCAAAGTCAATAGCTTGGACACACTCGTCATCCACTCTGCGGTGCAGATTCGGGACTGGATGGTGGGCCTGGCTAGAGGCCTTTCCCTGCCTGGTGTTATTGTTGCCATACTGACACTAGCTTCCATGATATTGGCTGATACTGTTTCTCTGTCTTCTGTGTCCTCCCAAGGGCTGTTGGGTTGCGCCGGTGTATTAGCATTTTCAGAGTATCAAGGAAGTTGGTTAGCCCTGTAGGGACATCCAGGAAAAGGGGTGTTTACCTACAAACCTGGTTGAAAGAAGGATTGTGCAACCTGCTCCAGGGCCCAGTAGCTGGGTCCCCTTCCTCTGGGGTCTGGGTCTGGCACTCCTCCTAGAGATGGGCCACACTGGGGATGCAGAGCCGACTGAGCTGGGAACCCCCGCCCTGAGAATTTAACTTTGTAGAACTACCTTCTTGCAGTCACGGTTCTGAGCATCGGTATTTCTCCATGCCTGTGCAAGGATTCTAGTCACGGGTGCTAGGTGCTAGTCAAGCAGCTCCTTTGATGCCAAGTATGTTAGAGTTCCCTACTGTCCCCAAGAGGGCCAAACGGCACCAACTCCCTGAAGTCACAGAAAAGAACTTAGCAGCATCTGTTAGGATAACCCTGCCTCCCTGGGATTCACCCCCACCTCCTGATTAGACTAGAAACTTCTTAGGGGTCAAACAGTGCCATAGTCGTCATTGAAATTGTGTGAACGATAAGCCTAACCTTTTCTGAGTACTCGGGATGTGTTAGGCTCCGTCTTAATTGTATCCTACTTAATCCCACAGTCCTAAGAGTTAAATCCCATCACTGTACTGTGTCAACAGATGAGAAAACCAAACTCTGCTCAAATTTGTACAACCAGGAAATAGCAGTAAGGTCTCAGGTCACAGTGCCACACCCTCCCAGCCCCCGAGCCCCCAAAAACTGCTCCAGCGGAGTTGTGTATTGTTCAACAAGTGTGAAAAGGCCACGCAGCACATGGCCCAGGTCAGGGGACATTTTTTTTGTTGATTCAGTCTGCTCCTTCCATCTTTATACCTGTAGTGAGTATTGAACCCAGGGCACTAGGGTTTTCTTTTAAAGGCATTAGGTGCCTTTACCAGAGGAACCGTCTCACTGGGTCCATGAAGCTTATTTCTAAGAATCTTTGTCAGATTGTAGAGGTTTATTAGATTAGTGACAACCATAAATGGTTCTTAAGCAAATCTCTATTTGTAATTTAACAAAACCAGAGAAGCCAGCTGCTCTTGCTGCCACCCTTCACCCACTTTAGATGCTGAAATAACCAAGGTGTGGTTGTGATCTTGACTGCATGGATTCCATTCTAACCTTGAGATCTGGAGTGCCCTTAAGCCAGCCCGCCCCTGTCTAGGAGGCCCTATTCGGTTTGGGTGCATAAGCACGTGCAATGAGGCAAGAGCTTACGCACCAAATACAGGAAAGAGAAGCAATTTATTCTTTAAGGACCTTTGAGTGCTGATGGGCGTGGAGCACAGCTTAACCCTGATGACTTCAGGCTGTCACATGAACCTCTGCTTCTAAGCTGGGCAGCATGAACTGTTGTTAGGGGCAGGACCCAACAACCGGGTGAATGTTTCGTAATACGGTAAAGAGTTCCATAAGTCTTGTGTAGCTTATGGAGCCGCTGGATGGGATGGGAATGCTGCCATCGTGTTTACTGAAATACTTCCCTAAGTGTTTCGCCCAAACAGGGTGATGGTGAGTGCTCACAGAACAAAGCTCGGCCAGCAGGTCGGCAGCAAGTCCAAGAGGACCTGGGGGTGGCGCCTTTATTAAGGTCCTCATGCATGCTCCTTTGCTTTTCAGAGATTGGTTGGTTTAAAGAAAACTCATGTGAAGTAGCAATCATTTGGTCGTGGGTGCTAACCATGAGGTTTGATTATGGTTAGCAGCTGAAAATGGGTTTGTGGTCAGTGAGACGAGGAGCCACCCCGAAGAGGATCTTAACTCAGCTAAAGGTGACTGAGCAAATGTGGGTCTCAGATTATGTCAGACTTAGAAATGAGTGTTGAGCCAACACATTCCTGCCTGCTGTCGTTTTGCTAAGCGTGGTTTTGGGTAGCCTATGTATCCCTGGGCCCCCTGCCCCACCCCACCCCTACTCTACTCTGCTCGATGTTTGGAAGAGGCAGGCAGCAAGCTGGTTTGGGTCAGCATGAGAGGTCTCTAGCCCAGGGAATCTGCACCTGCCTCTCTGACACTGACTCAAAGGGACCATGAGCTGCAGGACTCTGCAGAGCTCTGGGAAGTCTGATGATGTCAAAATGAGCCCCAACCTGCCGCTTAGGTGTTTAAGCAAACATTCCCAGCATGGCCATACACAGGACCAACAAGTAGACCAGCATGAATTAGCTAGCTATTAGTCACACAGAACGATGATAGTTCTAGTAGCTGGTGTTGTCTAGGAACTCTTGTGGAGCTAATGGAACCGCTGGATGGGATGGGAATGCTGCAATCGTGTTTACTGAAATACTTCCCTAAGTGCCCCCGAACTTGTGGCTGCCATGACTGTTGTGAACAGAGGTCTCAGGTGAAGCTTGGGGACACACAAGTTGTAAAGTGTGACAGTATTAGCTTTTTACATCTAAGCAACAAATGAAATATTTTTTGATGTGAAAAATAAGGACGAGCCGGCTCCTAAGATGGTTTGTGGAATCTATTTTTATTATTAATAACTCTTTGTCAGTCTCTCTCTCTCTCTCTCTCTCTCTCTCTCTCTGTGTGTGTGTGTCTGTCTGTCTGTCTATATTTATGTATGTTAACAGCCAGAGGTCAATCTTGAGTGCTGTTCCTCAGGGGATCTCCTGGCCTGGAACTCAATGGTTAGGCTAGCCTGGCTGGCCAGCCCTGGATCTACCTGGCTCACTCCAGTGCTGGCATACAAGGGCAAGCCACTCTGCTCAGCTCTTTTGGTGGGTTCTGGGAATCAGACTCAGAATCCTCACGCTCGCAGGGTGAGTCCTCTGCTCCGTCTTCTTTCCATTCTTTGTAAATGAAAATGTGCTCTGCTGCACGTACATTTCCCTTAGACCAACAATATTTCTCTTCAAAATGGAGACCTCCAGGCTGGAGAGATGGGTCAGTGGTTGAGAGCACTGGCTGCTCTTCCAGAGGCCCCGGGTTTGATTCCAGCACCCACACAGAGACTCACAACCAGATGTAACTCCAGTGTCAGGGGACCCAAGAACTCTTCTGACCATACGCAGCAGACACACATCCAAGCAGAATTTCCATATACATAAAATAATAATTTTAAAAATTCAAAATTGGGAACTGAAGGAAAAAAAAAACAAAACAACCAAAAACCCATCCCAAACCCAGTGATAAAGACATTTTCTTTTTACTTTTACTAGAAATTAAAAAATATATATATCAAGAAAGCAGCAAAAGCACCTCTGATGAATGAGTATGCAAACTTGTACGCAGCTTTATTTTCTGTTAGCCAAAACTCCAAGAAGCCCTCAGAGAAGAGTGAGACCGGAAATTAAGTTCAGACGACCACACTGTCAATTAGTTTATTAGGAACTCATCCTTAGCTACCCCGAGCCTTCAGAGAGCAGCACCGTGTAAGTGGGTGAGGCTACATGTTACTCAGAACGCCCTCAAAGCCGAGACCCTGTGGAGATACTTACATGCTCTGTGACTAGGAAGCAGTTGGTTACAATGACAAGGTACAAAAAATAATAAGCATGCAGCCCTTTATTTAGTTTGCAAGGTCTCTGCTTACAGTTCTGTATGTTACATGGCTGTGTTATACAAATACAGTTATTTACAAAACCACTCGAGCTGTGCACACGTGGAGCTTTTTAAAAAGGCCTGGGTGGTCCCATTTCTGCCCATCCTGACAGAGAGACTCTTAAAGCATGCATAAAAATGAACTTTGGTGTGGGGAAACTACTCTATGTGCTATCACACATTGTATTTTGATGTCTATTTATATTTATATATTTACAAAAGTTCCTCAGTGTACAGAACCGTACAGAAGTGTATGTTTTAAAATCCACAATGCAACAGTGTGTGTGTTACCAGGTCTAGGAAAACGTAAAAAGGGGTTAGACACCGCAACAAAAATTGCTACAGAACATTAATTCATTCATTCTTTCTTTCTTTCTTTCTTTCTTTCTTTCTTTCTTTCTTTCTTTCTTTCTTTCTTTCTTTCTTTTTTTTAAGAAAAAAGGAAGAAGAAAATAAAAAGAAAGCAAAGAAAAAGAAAACAGACTTGCTTGAGCTAGCAAATTATCATACATACTTTGGAGCAGTGCAAGAGTTTGCTGACTTTCTTCCTACGGGCTGTGTGGGAGCTCACTGGCTTAGGGTCTGGCATGCTACTTTCAAATGTACAATGCTGTAGTATCAAAAATGTTTTGGCAAAAAAGATCTTGAAAGGAACCATGAAGTTTCGACAAAAATAGAAATCTGTAATAAAGCTAAATAACACTAAAATAAAAGAAAATATCATAATATATGCTTTACAATTTATATAGTCACACTTGTGTATCTCTCTGTTCACCTCTAGTCTCCATAATGAAAAATATTTTTATACAAAACATACTAAAATTCTGGAATCATACATGTTTTACATGCGTAGTACAGCTTGTCTCACACATCTCTTCACTCTCTCTCTCTTTTTAATAGCACATGCTTTCTTCATTTAATAGGTATTGAGTCTAGACAGTAAACACTATGTAAGTACAATAGCGACAGAGTAGAAAAAACAAGCTTTACTGCAATCTATGAACTCAGTATTTAGCACATACTTTGCATGAAGCCTTGAACAGCACAACAATACGGTACATTCTCTTGTGAAAACAGTTGTTCCAGACTGCTAAAAATTAAAAACAAGAATGCAATTCCATCTTGTGCCTAATAGGATCTGGCCTTTAAGAAGTTTCCTTTGCTGTGGATGGGGTGGCTTTGCTTGAACCTCCGTTCTGTGCTTTGTAGCTGGTGAGGCTAGGAGTGTGGATGGTCCTGACGCCCCTGGCACCTTGATTCAGGGAGGTGGGGGAGGCAGGGGAGGGAGGGGAGGAGGAGGAGGAGGAAGTAGGGGCAGCTCGGCCATTTTGAGTCTGCAGTGCAAATGAAAGGTGATGGCCTTTACCTGCATGAGGCGGGCTCTGAAACTTTAAGGAGCCATTAGAGACAGAAGGGATGAGGGAGGCGGAGTGAGTGGACCGTCCTGCTTGGGGGCTGAGAGGGGTAGAAGCAATCGATGGTTTAGTAGCAGGTGCACTGGGGAGGTTAGCGATGTCACCACTAGCAGAGGGCAGAGAAGTGCTTTTCCCCGAGCTGGGAGAAAGGGCTGGAATCTTAGAAGCAGGTAAGGAGGGGGAAGGAGGCTTACAATCCCCACCAGCTTTCTTAGCACTTCCATTAGCCTGCAAACAAAGATGGCGGGAGACACTTCGTCAGAAAGCCGGTAACACGATGATCAACAACGCACAGGGCCTGGCAACACAGCCCTTCTGAGAATCATTCAGCCACAGAAAAAACAACAGACAGTCTGAGGCCTGAGCTAAGTTTTGTGCTTATCTGGACCTGGCTGAAACCACCCCATGCACATAGCGAAGGAGGTACGGAAAGGACCGAGAGGAAGACCACACACATCACACATTCTACGGGCATCCCCGGTGCCAGCCAGCCATGCATGGGGATGGTGATTGGGGTGGGGAGTGTGAATGCACTTCTAACGTGGGAGAGTGAATGGGATTTTAAAGCAATGCAGTCAACACAGATGTTAGTAGTGGCGACTTAAGAGCAGTCACGACAGGTTGGTTTGTCTCTGTTTCCCAAGAGGTTTTGATGAAGCACTACATACATCCCCAAAGCAACCGCCACTGCCTTGGCACCATGTGTTAACAGTTAAGAGCTGGAGTCACAAAGGAAAAGATGTTTTATTGTAAGCATGCAAGAGTGTGGTGAGAAGTTTAACAGAGGTTCTCTTTAGACCTTCTTCATGCCCCCAGATCCAAGATGTCTATGGAAATGATATCTCACACAGAAAACACAGTATTTGGTATAAACTCAGTCAGCGACTGGCTTCTTAATCGCCATAGTGTCCATCCAAAATTTGGTTTAAGGTAAAACTACCTGACGGTATTGGCGGGGGTCCTGCAGTTTGGATTGTTTGCTGGGCTTATCCAGGCTTCCAGGTCTGTTCTTAGAACTCATGGGGACTGGCATCCGACTTGTCTGTGGGGTGGTGCTGGAGCCCTGTGGAAGGACCGGTGAGAGAGGGGAGACAAAGAGAAGAAGGTGAGCGGATTGTTCCTGAGACTGCCCCACAATACGCAGAGAAGGTCAAGTGAGAAGCTAGCGCCCTACATGCAGGACAGACCCAGGAGACACCAACTGGGTTAATCAGAAGAATCAAACAGAATCAACAGCTCACTATCGATCAATTGGATTTTAATGTGAGTACCAAGAGCACACAGCTGACCCAGCTTCCTTCTATGGACCCAACACCAATCAGCAACAGAGGCACAAACAGAATTGATTAGCTGTTAGACATTTGTTGCCGTTGTTTTTGGAAGGCGACGGAGAAGGGAGGAGAGACGGGTACATGACGAATACACAAAAAAACGCGAGCCACCTGAAAGGAAGCGATTAAATCACGAGACACCTTTTGCTACTGTGATTATGACAGGCTTAAGAAGCAGCTGGATCTTTCCATTTTCTACAGACCAAGATACCTTACGTGAAGCTGAAGATATGGACGTGGGGGGCTCTGGGGCAGGGGGCACTTCATCCAGAACTAGCAAGGACCGGGGAGAGACCTCTTGGGACATGTGGGGCGAGCCTGCACCACAATCTCTGTTGGAAGAACACGGGGTATCAACTAGGGCCCTGGGGCTCATTTCACTGATTGTATTTTCAAGTTGCCTTATGGTCTGCTCCAGGCTGTCCAGCGTTTTGTAAGTATTTTTCCTAATTTCATCCGTCCTTGAAGTCGGAGATGTGCCTTCGAGACTAGGCTGTTCTTGTCTCCTAGCCATGGTTTTCAGGGCATCTTCAGGCTGTGACCTGGTGATTTCAAACCGCTTGGCCTCTTTGTGCTGTTTCAAAGTACCATCCTCTTCCTCTTCCTCGTAGACCACCACCTGAAGGGTTTTCTTTCCCGTTTTTGTGCCTGTGAGGATTGCCTGAGTAAGAGCAGCAAGCTGCTTTTTAGGGAATTTGAACTTGAACTTTTTCTTGGGGCTTTCAAACTGGTCATCGGCCACGTCACACTTATTTCCCGAGTCTGGAGAATCTTCGGAGCTAAACTTTCTCTGCTCGGCTTTATGAACTTCCTGCTCTCCTGGGGTTTGACTCTCTGCTGTAAGGGAGCGGGGTCGTGATTGTGTCTCTGCCGTTTGTCCCCGCCCACCACTTCCCGAGTCAACCTGCGTTTGGGAAGAAGGCTGGACTCCAGCGTCTCCATCTTCCTCCTCTTCCTCCTCCTCGATCTTTTCCTCTGTCATCATCCTCTCCAGTTCCTCATCACATTCCTCAAAGATGGTTGAAAGTCTCTTATACGCAGATCGGATGTCCATGGGTTCATCAAAAATGATGATAACTGGCTTCTTGTCTAGACACACGACTGGTTCTTCAGCTTCAGTCCCTTCTTGCTGAGAGGTTGTCTCTTTCCTCGCATCAATATTGACTGTCTGTACATCTTGTCCCTTTTGGCTCACAATGTCATGGACCTCCCCACTGGACAGAACCTGCACAGCGTTTTTGGTGATCATGAAGGCGATGTTATCAGTGGCTGTGTGCTCCTCACTGGGAGAACTTGGAGTTGACTCCCCATCCTCGATAGTGTTCATGTTAGCATGCCTACCCACCTTGGATCTTAGGACAACTTGGCCAAGGTCTGTCACGAGAACATCGTGATCTTGTGTTTTGGTCTCATGAATACTTAATTCTGCTGATCTAGATGGGAGAGGAATGTGACTCTTATCTGTATTTTCCTGTCCTTGTCGGCCTGCCTCTCTTGTCTTTCCATGATTCAACTTCTGATTGTCGGTGTCAGGAATAACACACTGTAGTCCTGAGACCTTAGGTCCTTGGTTGAGTTCACCTTCCAATGAATTCATGCCAGTAGAATGAAAATTGACCTTAGGCACATTTTTCTGGGAATAATTTCTACTATCTCTGAATAGATTCTTATTGGGTGTGGAAGTGTCCTCAATGAAGGTGTCACCTCTACATTCAGGTGTTCGTGATGTGTCAGGAACACTAGTCACCACTGTTCTTTCCCACTTGGGAGGGCCACTAGGTCTCAGAGCCCCTGCAGTAACCTGAGAGGCAAAGCGGAGAAAGGAAACCACACACATTAATCAGAAAAGGATCTGCAAGGGGAGGTAATTAAACTGCATAGCATCAGTTGGAACCCAGATATGGCAAACTCACCTTTTGAGATTCCACTTGGGGGCCATTTTCACATTCAACACCAGATTTTCGTACATCTTCATGGAAAAATTCCAAATTCTGGTAGAATAGTGTAGGACACGTTACTCCACAAAACCACATGCTCCCCAAAGTGGACTATAACTATCGTTCAATTACATTTCCAAACATGCGTGTGGCCCAAGCACATGTGTTACACAGCAACCCGAACCCTACAGCTCTGTTTACCTGGGACTGTTTTGTCCTCCAACCTCCAAAACTGCCCTGTATTTGTACAAGATGAAAGTCTCCATTAGTGGAATATTTCAAGTATTTCCAATTTCGTGGGGGAGCAGGGAAGAGGATAAGTGGAGCCATTAACAACTGTCTTTTCAATGCCTGACTGTCTGATCGTGGCAGACTCTAAAACCAGAACTGTAGGAGGCCCACTGGGTGTGTGGGGGGGGGGCAAGCAGCGATTAGCATTCTGATACACATCTGCCTCTTACTGATGTGACTTGGGACAAATCCTTTATTTCACATCTCTGTACCTCAGGTTTTGGTTTTGTTTTGCCTATAAACTGAGGAACAAGAGCAGAGTTTTAAAATGTCCCTTCCGACTCTTTTATGGAAGTCACAGCCCATAAGGAGTTCTGTTTGGGTTGGTTGTCATACTCTGGGATGAAAAAAAACATTTTTCTTCTGTGGTCCAGTGACAGGGTGAAAATGTCTTTGCAGGTTATCAATGTGTTCAAATAACCTTCGAATTAATAACAGCCCTGAGGATTGCATCCAAATTTGCAGTGATGATATGTCACAGTTTGCAGCCATGTAGTCCTCAACAACAGAGACACGTCCTGGCAAATGTGTCACAGAGTGATTCTGTCGTGCAAGCATCTGAGCGTGTTCTTACATTTACCAGAGGTCTAGGCTACCATTGTGCTTGGCCTCAGGATGCTCGTGACAGACTCAACAAACCAGCACATGAAGCTGCCGCCTGCTGCCTGTGTAGCACAGCCTACTGTGTTATGGTGACTTTTGGTTTTCATATAACTAGAAGTCTACTCTTAGACACTGATGAAAAATATAGAAAATTACATAGACCAGTGACAGCTTTTATTATCCTTATCCCACCAGGCAGGGGAGGGAACTGTCTCTTTCACACATCAGCATCGAGTAGACCTGTGTAGACCACCATAAACCACCTCAGCACGACTGTGTGATGCAGCTGACTGCCATCAGTTAGGACCTCAGTGGATGAGCCACCATTGTAGACGTGGTCCATCGCTCACCAAAACATTGTTACATGGGGCATGACTATAATCTAAAAAAAAAACAAAACAAAACAACAACAACAACAAAAAACCAAAGTGGGCGTCTGAGGCCAAGATGGCAGCTGTGGTGTCATAGTCAGGTTTTATTCCCTGCATTTTATGATGCAGCTTTTATTCTCTATATTTTAAGATGTAAAGATGTTCATGAGGGTCTCACTAAGATTCAGAATTGAGGACCCAACAGCAGTGAGGATCCAGGTAATCAGAGCATTTCATCTAAGGGCACTGTGTTCTAGCCTGGCTGTATGAGTAGCCCCAGGCCCTGCATATCCCTAATATTAGGATACCTCCTCCTCACAGGGTACTGCTGCTGGCCCTTCTAGCTGCAGAACGCCAAGAGGAAGTGATATCTGTCACAAGGTGAAATACAGTCCCAGTGAAGGCTGTTTGGTTAAAGCAATGACAATATCACAAAGCACAATAGCCCAGGTTGTGCCAAGGTTAACACGACTGCCCTGGTTCAGAGTGGAAGGAATAGTCACACACATTCAAGGAAGAACACAAACAACACAGTCAGCATTAACCACACGGAACACCATTAGTGACCAAGAACGAGGTGCACTCGCCGCCAGCCCCCGCCGGTTAACCTGTCTGCTCCCCCTGGGGTTTCTCCAGACAGGGGCAGTTCTGCTGCTGCAAGAGAATGTGAGTTTATCTGTGGGACTTGAAATTCAGATTATAAAGCACCTGATGTAGCACATAAAAGACTTTTAAGGAGAATATTAAATGAGGATCCAGCCCAACGTTTCAGTTCCAAACATGGAGCTAGTATACTTCACTAGGACCCAAGTAAAAGCTGACTCTCCGAATCAAAGAAAGGATTGGATTTGTGTAAACTCAAGTCCCCTGCCAGGCCCATTTACGGGGGGTGGGGGAGGCAGGGGGGTTGGTGGGGCTGGTATCTGCACTGGTTGGCAAGGGCCACACCATAGCCACTATTAAATATTTCCAGTCTCACTCTGTAATATGTGTATTCAAATACAATTCAGTGGTGGGACCACTCCAGCAGCAAGTAACTAAACCGAAGACTAGTTCAGGTTTCACATGGGCAATTGTATTTAATCCATGGGCTAGACACAAAAGGGAATGAATGCATCCAAGCAAGCGCATGAACTTCAGGGAAACTCGGTCATAGTCGCCATGGAATAGTATGGATGGTCACAATTTTGCGTGAAAGGCAATCAACCTTCTTTAATATTTGCTTATGAGCCCGTGATTTAGATGACGTAAATGGCTAGGGAAGCATGCTCCATGTGAAGGAATAATCAACGGAAAAGAGACCCAGTCACGAGCAAACTGTAAATGTGGAGTGCCAGGCTGGAGCTTCATGAGGGTAGGAGGAAAGACAATGGAGAAAACATTTAAGTTAAGGAAGATGAAAAGGCCATAAAGAGGTTAATAGAGACAAAAGCTGGGGGTAAGACTGATAGTTCTGGCTACTAGGAAGTGATTCATCTACTGAGTTTATGATCCAAAATGAGTACCTAACCTACAAACTCAGGGCTGGGTGCTCAACGATGACCCACTGGCATTCCCACAGCAAACGGCTTCCAGTCTGCTACCAACAGGTAGGTGTGGACTTCAGACTGCCAGACAAGAACCCAGGACAACATCAGAGTCAATTAGAGTAAGTCTGCAATGACACAGTGGTCACCATAGGGGACCTTTGGGAGGTATGACGTTTCCAGTTAGTGTTCTAGAATGGTCACATTGGCCCAAATACAACACACCAGGCCCTGCCAGGGACCTGCTACAAACTAGTAGTAATAAAGCCATATGGGAAAGTTCCACACACTGAACAAGCAGCCTATTTCTGGGGTGATTTCATGGGTTTAGTTTTCTGCATGAGACAGCTTGTTTATCATTGTCTAACAACCTGCTGGTGTAGAAAGACACCCTCTGCCTGCTGACAGTGTCAACTGTCTACTGGGGGCAGGTCACTTCACATTAGGGCTCTTCAATAGTGGTGGGCCAGAGCTGAGCAGGTCCCTTGAAGGCTGCTGCATTTGCCCTCTGTGGTCTGATATATCTACCTCACTGGGTTTGCTTATATAAAAGCCAAGGGTCGAGGTAGAGCAGAAAGAAGGCCACTTGGCAACTTTTTTTTGTTACGATTGTTTCTCTTTATTTAAAATAAAGTAGTGCCCCTCAGTTCTGAAATGTAAGTTTTCTGGTGGCAAATGTTAGAACTTGAATTGGTTAAACTTTTTGTCCTCGATTACGGTTAGATGGCTCTAAACCCTCAAATCCCAAATGCTTTAGATTCATCCTCACACTTTAGCTCTGACGCTGGTGACCACAGCTGTCTCCTCGGCATGGATGGATGCTTTGTTACACAGCCTAGACTCCTCTTCGAAGTCACAAGTATATTATTTTAGCATTAAAGCTATACTTACTAATTTTGAAAGATATACCTCAAAAATCAGCAATAATTGGCAAGGATCCTGTTTGGCATACTTCAGTGTATATACAGGTATGTTTCCATGATTCTTAACTTCCATGAGATATGTTGAAAATGAGAAAAACTTGCATTTACTTAGCTATTATTTCTGGGTTTCGTCGTTGTTGTTGTTGCTGTTGTTGTTGTTGTTTCTAATGAGTTGGTCTGAAACTCTTGGAAGGTACACATTCTCTCCTGGGGGAAGCCATTGCGTTGGTTTTGCCTACGCTGTTGTGTGGTGTTCACAGGGAACAATGCTCACTTTGGAAACCTGAGCCAGATATTTGTGATCTCACTCTAACCTGTATCTCCATGAGTCGAAGAAGAGGAACAGAGCACTACGGGAAGGCCATGTGCAGGAGGTCAAGTGCAAGAGTGCCGTGTTAGTAGCAGAGCAGAGCAGGGCAGGACAGGGCTGTCTGACTGTGTGGTAAACAGATAGCTACCACGTGTTACCTTCTTCTCCTTGGGTGGGACTGTGGCGCCTGGCCTAGTGTCTTTAAGGTGGCTGTCAGCTCGGGACTGCTCAGCATGACTGTTTGGATTTACATCCATAAAGGAACACTTCTGGAATGCCTAAGGAATTAAAATACTGACGTTAACAGGGGTCCGAGTGTATGGAGCAGAAAAGAGGCAGGCATCCAAAGACATGGGGACATCCCAGCCCTGGTCCTGAATGCAGGCTCCTGCTAGGAGGCGGCATCCTGGAATCCTACATCCCACAGGGCCTCAAGCAGGCCTCTGGCTGAGCTCTAAGCAAAAGCTTCTTTATAAAGATGAAATGGACAGAGCCCTAAAGACTATTAATACCCTTGGGCTGGAGGTATGGCTCAGTGACAAGTCCATGCTCGGCAGGCATGAAACTCTGGGCTCAATAGCTAACATCAAAGAGGAAAAAATGCTCTCAGGTGCACCTGATTTGACTTAGTGTCACTTTTTGTCTTGACCTTTTCACGTTGGTACATATATAAACAAATCAAGAAAAGATGAAAAGACATCTTTACGTTCTTCATTTCTTATCAGCTTTACTAAGATTATAGGAAGAAAACTCACAAGACATTTTAAACTGAAAAAGTAATAACACACACCTGTTCGCTCACTCTCTGAAACAGTCACAGATCCCACTCTGCTCTGTTGCTCATTTCCAAGCAATGAATGCTTTTTAGCACCACGTGGTCCTGAATGGCCAGGGAGCGGCTGAGCTCTGGTTATAACTGTGGGGCCAGCAGCTGGCTCACGTGAATAGGGTCACGTGAATAGAGACTAGTTCGGAGATGAAAGAGCAGCAGTACTGCTTCTGTCTGTCCAATGACGGGGTTGGGAACATCAGGAGAGTCTCCTGACACTGAACTGTGGAGGACAGCTGACAGCTGAGTCCAGGGCTGCTTAGCATCAGCAGTCCGCATGGCTATGCATTAAATGGCCAACACAACCAATCAGCAGTCCTGCCAGGCCTCACTCAAGAGAACTAGGAAACAAGAGTCTCTGGGTTGTGGGCATTTTCCACACAAATGCTCCAGTGACTCTAGTGTGCAGTTAGCATGAAAAAAGAACTCAGTGAAATGAATAATCTTAAATCATTGCCTAATATTCTCTCTATGTCAAATGTTGACATCTGGAAATACTTCAGTAGGCTGAAAGAAGAATTTGTGACTTTGCCAAGTGAGCATTCTAGCATCTGTCCTAACATCTGGACAGAGCGGACCACAGGGACGCTCTTCTGCCTTCAATGCTTGTTGCTCTGTTTTAGCCATCTTTGCCCTTCACGCTCTCTGCTCCTTAGAAAGTGAATCCTGGCTTGTCCCAGACATGCTTGACTTATCTCCAGGCCTGTCTGCTGAGAGCATCTGCTATGCCCTTTGAGCTGTTAGAAGTTACATTTCCACACCTGGATTTTCTTCTGATGCCTATTTACCTGAACACAGGACACTATTTCATGGAAACTACCCTTAGAGGGGGCTGAAGAATCTCTCGCCCATGCCTGGGGTCTGACTCAAGAGCACACACAGACAAACTAGCTGGACCTACAGAGCTAGAGAATTTCAGTTTTTATTATAAATAGCCACTTATAGAACAAGAAGCCAGATACCAGATACCCCACTTCCTGGAAAGGGATCATCACAGAAGACACCGAAGACAGAGGACTCTGAATGGTCATCTTGCATAGTAGCTAGAAGTGTCTATGACAAATATATGGTTTCTACTGGAGTGCTAAGATTGGAACATTCAAATGTCTAAAGGTTGCTAACTATAAATCTGTTTCCTATCAGTAAGTTTCTGACCATTCTAAGGACGCATGGAGTCTGCTTGGCCGAGGGCTTGACCTAGTACAGTCTGTGAGCTTGGGCGAGTATTAAAGGGTTCACCCTGCAACGGAACACTCAGCAGTCCCATTTGTCTTATAAGATGCAAGGAGCTCAATTTTGGCAGCTATTACCATGGATACCACAAAAGCCAGGGTAGACTCGCATCACAAAAGTGACACGGTTTAAAGTTTTCTTCGTTCTATGTGAAGAAATGAGATTCACTGGTCTGTACCAAACCACATGGACAGTAGTGAAAAAACAGCATTTTTGGAGTCCCACAAAGGGTATCTAAGAAGCAAAAATGTCTCATAAAAAGCAGGAGTCAAAAAAGTCCAGAGTGTGGTCTAGGAATTATGTATGTATTTAATGAGAGTTCTCAGGACATGCTTGTAGTGAAGAGTCACATTCATGACAAGAACATGGTCTTGGGTATATACCCTGCAATCCATTCTCAGTCCTAGCAGAGAGTTGTGTATATATATATATTTCTCTAATAGGCCAAGGAAAATGGAAAAAATAGAATATTCCTATCATCTAGAGCTAGGGAGGTCTGCAACTGATTTTTCTATGTGAGAATTGTTTTAAAAATGGTCTCTATCCACACATCTTCCAGTGCCCAGAGAAATGGCTGGCTCTCATCTTGGAAAAATGGAGGCCAGGGTTAAGACACAACTAACATGTGCTGGCTCCAGCACCCTTTACCAGCCTTGTCCAGTTAACAGACCTGTGGGCTCCACAGCCTGAGAAGCCCAGATGAGAAGGCCGAGAGCCAATGGCCAGGAGTCACCTCAGCTACATACCTGGAGTTCTGCCATGATTTTGTCTCCTTCTTCTTCTTCCTCCTCATCCTTGGAGGAAGAGGGAGGGACTGGTGGTGGGGATGGGGCCCAGGCTGAGGCTGGCTCCTCTGTGGGACATTTTGTGGCTCTAGCCTGTGGGGTTGGCCCAGGGTCTTCACTGCTCACCTACAGGGGATTCAAAGCACAGACATTGGTATAAGACCCTCAGGTCAGACTGCATAGATTCTCAACGCCTCTTTAGCTCTGGCTCTTCTTGCCAAAAGGCTGTTTTCTTTCCTTGATTTTAGTTTGGGCTTGTTTAAGTTGTCACGCTGGTGAATGGTTTGAAGAATTATGAAACTGTAAATCCCCCACATTTACAAAAGGCCCTCCCCCACACTGCATTTCCAATTGGAAATTGCATTTTTTCATTTAACACAAGGGACAAGGCTTTCCAAGTTAAGTCAGCTAAGCTCAAGTAACAGCTTTTTATACAAACACCCACAGCTTTGTCTGCTGATCTGTTCTTGATAAGACCCTCACTCTAGTTTACTGATATCACACCAGGGAAAGTGGCTGGTGATCTGCATTTCATAGTGTCCCACTAAAAGTCACATAAGGCTAGCACCCATGGTGCCCAGCCTCGTTCAATAGCACTGGCTGGCATTCTCCATCTGAGGCACTTTCTGGAGATCTAGATGAGTTGAATCACTACTTTTTTTTTTTTATTGTTCAGACAGATAGAACTGTCTGCACCCAGAAACCAGTTTGCCAGGACTCAACCCATCAGACCTTAGACATGCTCTCCTTTCTGCCGGTGTAGACCACATCGCCAGACCTTGTGGTGGTGAGTCCTGACCCAGGAAGGTAGCTTCTCCGAGGGGGTGGGGGTGGAGGAGGGGGTGACTTTCCCCCTAGCTTGTCCAACTCCTGCTCTGAATTTGGAGAATCTTCTGGAAGAGAGTATGCCATTTCAAAGATAATCTCTTTTTAAGATACATCTGTATGCAAACACAATGCAATTTGATGTACAAACTCTCTCTTCTTGCCATAGACAAATGATTAAGGGGACAGCCTTGACAACAAACGGAACTTAACTCCCAGAAAGCGCCTGCATATGTGACCTCCCTTCCTGTTGACTCAGTTCTCTCATCTCTTACATACTACATACAACATACTACAACAGACTTTCTACTGGGGTGTTCTGGGGGTTAAATGACAAATGACATTGGCTTATTGTGACTCCAATACAAACCATTAGATTTCTTATTAAATGAACTTCTTGGTACATACATAAAATGAGGGGCACCAGAAAAGTGACAAAATTGGGCAACTAGAGGTAAGTCCCAAACCCTTTGCCAGGCTTCTGAAACCTCCAATCCCAGCCTGAAACAGTATATCTGTAAGAACTGACATAGCTCAGGGATAGCTAAAGAGGGAGAGGGAGAGAGGAGATGGGGACAAATCCCAGCACTGGGAGGCAGAGACAGGCAGGTCTCTGTGAGTTCAAGGCCAGCCTGGTCTACAGAGCGAGATACAGGACAGGCTCCGAAGCTACAGAGAAAGCCTGTTTTGAAAAACCGAAGAAGAAGAAGAAGAAGAAGAAGAAGAAGAAGAAGAAGAAGAAGAAGAAGAAGAAGAAGAAGAAGAAGAAGAAGAAGAAGAAGAA